TTTTTTTTTTTTTTTTTTTTTTTATTATCATCCGATCAGAAATATATAAACAAAAAAGAATATAAAATTACGACGCTAAAAACCGGAACGGTCGTGCGATGTACTTACAGTATTCGGAAAAACCGACAAAGAAAACCGGATACGGTTTTGTCCAAACAATAGGAAACAATAAATTCAAGCCTTTACGGCGTCGTTTTACCGTTATCGTCTATAAACAATCAAGAAGAGAAATTTATTATATTTAGGAGACCAAACCCTTTCCATTTATTATTAGGTCGGCTTTATGTCTGCAAAACGACAGAATCCAGGAGGCGGAGGAGACTCCGCCGTGTCCCGGCGGCGTTCGCCGGCTCTGGCCCTTTTAAATTTGTTTGGTATTTGAACTTCCCTTCTCAGCCGTCGATATGTTAAGAAAAATGTTTTTATTTTTTATTTTTCTATTTTTTTCGATTTTAATTTTACAGACTAGCCACTGTTACCTACAAATAAGAAAAATATAAAATAATTAAAAATTAAATATTATAAACTCTAAATGGAAATACATACCTTATAGTTCAGGGATAGTTTAGTAATTATGTCGTAATTATTTATCTATGGATATATTTTTTTAGTATTGTTTTAACCAAATAAAAATAATAATTTACATAATTTTGAAAACCATAGAGGGATTGCTTGCGTTGGAAGCTATGGGCGACAGCGGTTTAATTCGAGTAATGCTGTGGCCAGATGTCTTATATTAGTTCAACAAATATTTATATAATTAATATATTTTCTTAAATCAACCAATTAATTTCCTAACTTTAGTTTCTAGAATTTCTTCTGTCTTACGTAATCAATTATTCATTATCTCATCTCTACCCCATTTTTCAGCTAGGTTTCACCATATTAATATAATCCTAATATTACCATTCAAATTAATTAAAACTATAGGTTATATAATATTTGGACTTCCCAACGTGACACAATTAACTGATGTCACGTATTAAATTAATTAGTAAAGCAGTCACCTTGAAACCATGTTTTACATAATACAATTGTCCCTTTCCCTCGAATTAAATAATAATCATAATATAAACCCTAAACCAATTAAAATTGTAAAATTTTAAATTTTAATTAGCTTAATTAATGATGGGGTTAGTTGGATTAGATCAATTTGGTTCACCTTGCCTATTTGACCACGCTGCTCCATTGAACTCTATCCCAAATTCTTTCGTCTACACATATTTTAAAATTTAGGCTAAGAGAAAAATAAAATAAAATAAAGAAAGTATTCATTTATTTATTCCTTGTGGGGAGAAATTGAATTATTTGATATTTAATTAATTAATTTATATATACACACACGTGTGGTTGGGGATGGACTAATTCAAGGGAAAACATGAAATTTTAATTTAATCTAATATTAATAAAAGAATATTGTTTAATCATTAAAATTAAAAAAAAAAAATCTGGAATTTTAAGGTTAAAATTAAACAATCTAATTTTCATGGAAAAAACGAAATTAAATTATTGATAAATACAAAATTGTTTTTTAAAAGGTTTATGCATTATGAAATAATTTGATGTGAAATTCTTAATATGATAATAATTGTTTTAATTAACAGCATGCTAATTGATGGAAATTCATAAATAATATCATATCGACCCCATAAAACCAACTTCAACGTATTCTCAATTAATTTTATGCATTTTATTCATAAATAATAAAAATATTTGCAACGTGTATGCCACGTAATTTCACATCGCGTCACGCATTTAAATTAACCACATGACACGTGTACAAAAATAATAATATATTGCATATTACACATTAATTTTATGTCTCTAATATATTAATTACTTAGTACTAAAATTATAATTGAAGCTCTTGTATTTGAGACGAATCTTATGGTTTTTAAAAACATGGCTTTATTAAAAATTTGGATTAATTCAACTGGCTAATTTTATGATGAACGAATGGATAATTTAAAATAAAACACGATAATAATAATAATAATAAAATATTAGAATATGACTTGGTAATTCTCGATTTAGAAGAGTCTACGATATTGTCGGATGCTATTGAGAAATTTGTATAGACGTTGATATTTTACGTAAATTAGATGACGATGGATGTGAATACGAAAAAGTCATATTTTTTCAAACCCAAATAAATATTATAAATGGTTATGAAATGTCATGATGGTACGGTGGAAATTACCAAATAAATATTAGCGAGATAGTGAAATAAAAACTAAAAAAATAATTCAACTTAATTCAATTAATTATATATAATTTCACTTATTTCATGAGAAATATTGATAGTGTTAAACCATTTTTTGGGGTAATAAGTAAACATGAGAAATATTGATAAAACGGAAAGTTAATTTTGTATTTGTAGTTCAAACTTGTAATATAAAAAATAATTAATTTTGGTATTTTAAATGAAAAAAGGTTAATCTTTTTTAATTAAGCATAAACCGGTGAAGGAAAAAAGGAAGCGGCTTCCCTTTCCCTTCCAAAATTCCAATAATTTATTGGACTAAGATTTGTGTAATTATTTCCCAAAACCGGGCCCACAACGAAGCCACGCGGCATACCCCAATCTCTATAAATACCACTCCACCTCGGCAGCAGGTGAGTGAAAATCAACACCAAAAATATAGACATTTTAAAATCGTACAATTTCGATGCGCTTATGGGTGTGAAGAGGAAGATGACGTGGAAATCGATGATCGTTTCGAGTTGTTACAAGGCGGAGTCCGACGACCACGACCGGCACCTGGTTTCCAAGAAAGGTTCGTCGCAGAGGCTGTCGCTGTCGGACGCGAGTAACCCGAGCTCGCCCTTGTCCATTGACGACCTGTCCAATTCTCTCGTCGGACCCAAGCTTCATATTTTCTCATTCGCTCAACTTCGAACCATCACTCACAATTTTGCCTCATCGAATTTGCTTGGAGAAGGCGGGTTCGGTCCGGTCTACAAAGGGTTTGTCGACGATAAGACTAAACCGGGTTTGGAGGCTCAGCCGGTCGCCGTTAAATTGCTCGACCTCCACGGATCTCAAGGCCATAAAGAATGGCTGGTAGACTGCCGAAACACTTTTTTTTCTTTTTTTGTTAAATTACAAATTTACCCTTTTAGGTATATTAAACTATTATTCAACCAATTTTATAAAATTATTGGGTTAAAATTTGAAATTAATTTCAGGGATGTAATATATATATATATATATATATAATTGTTTTTGTCTTTTTCTGTAGGCAGAGATAATAATTTTGGGTCAAATGAGGCATCAAAATTTGGTGAAACTTATCGGTTATTGCTGGGAAGAAGAATACAGACTTTTGGTTTATGAGTATATGGCTCGAGGCAGTTTAGAAAACCAGCTTTTCAGAAGTAAGTGACTTTTCTTAATTAATTAACTAATTAATTACATAATTAATCGTCTCATTAACTAAATAAATACTTCTTAATTATTCTAGAGTATTCAGCTGCTTTGCCTTGGTCAACGAGGATGAAAATCGCTTTAGAAGCTGCCAAAGGCCTTCAATTCCTTCACGAAGCCGATCCTCCCGTTATTTTTAGAGATTTCAAAACCTCCAATATTCTTCTCGATTCTGTAAGTTCCTTTTCCCTCTTTTATTTATTTATTTTTTTTATTTTTTTATAAATGTTCGAGGGTTTTTTTGTTTTAGGATTATACGACGAAGCTCTCGGATCTTGGGTTGGCTAAAGATGGTGTTGACTGCGAAGACCAACAGGACATGACTTGTATTATGGGCACTCAAGGCTATGCCGCTCCCGAGTACGTCAAATCCGGTGAGTCACTTGAACTCGGCTCGATTCAACCCATTAAGAATCATGGATCTAGCTTACTTATAAACTCACTATCGACGTTGTTTTACAGGCCATTTGACGACAATGAGTGATGTGTACAGTTACGGGGTTGTTTTGGTAGAGCTGCTGACGGGGAAGCCGTCGATGGACCGAAACACGGGCGAGTTTCTAGTGGACTGGGTCAAGCCACTTCTAAAGGACTCCAAACGGCTCTGCCGAGTCATGGACCCAAGGCTTGAGGGGCTGTACTCGGCCGATGGCGCTCGTAAGGCTGCGGCCTTGGCCCATAAATGTCTCAGCCGCAACCCCAAGAGGCGACCGCCAGCGACGGAAGTCGTTAACGTGTTGAAGTCCTTGCAGGACATTAATGACGTGTTTACGGCGCCGTTTGTGTACGTGGTGGAGGATTGCTGCGTGGAGGAGGGGAAGAAGGAAAATGGGCTTGGTCTTGGGCTTGGGCTTGGTGGGCTTGGATGGAAAAACTGGAGGCCCATATCTGTATGATATTATATTTAAAAGAAATGATTGGGATAAAATAAATCCCTATAAAATCTAGATTTTTTTTTATTTTTATTTTTAAAATTTTTGTAATTAAGCTTCTTCTTGATATTTGGTAGAAATCAAGGGGTGGTGGGAAAATGTTTATGAGAAATATATGGAATACTTGTACATAAAATTGTTTGCCGAAATGATTTTAATAAAATTGTAAATTTTTTATTATAAATAATTAGTATAATAATTAATTATACATGTTATATTTAAAAAATTAAATAACTTTATTTATTTTTCTAATTCATGCGAAAATAATAGATAAAAAAAATATTTATGATGGGTTTGGGGATGGGATAAGAGGGCCGGATCTTGAACCGAATGATTCCGGTTCGAAAAAATGGTTGAACCAACTCGACGGACATGAATGAGATCAAGGAACTCGTTGAACTAATTTTCCGTCCCTTACAAGGAAGTTACAATTCTCTCCAAGTTGGCGCGATTAGAAAACCGTATATTTACAACCCGGTAAAAAGGACGCAAGAGTTCAAATTCCAGAACTCATTTCTTTGTCGGTGATTTTCCCGGCAAATTGAAACCGAGCAGTCCGTCACCGGAAAATGGCTGCCGTTGTGCGAGTTGCCAGTATTCCTGGCCACGATCGAGTTCTCACGGCGGTTATTGCCGGAACGTCCAGTCTTTCGTTTCTGGGATCGGGATTCGTTGTCCTTTGTTACGTCCTCTTCAAAGAGCTTCGAAAATTCTCCTACAAGCTTGTCTTCTATCTCGCCCTCGCCGTGCGTATCTTCTTCTTCTCTACTTATTTTATTTCTGATCTACTTATCTTCGTCAGAATCTGTGGTTTTCTTCTAATGATTTGATTTCGATAATTCACCGTGAAGATTAAGTTACGCTGAGTCTGAAATTGAACTTGACGTAAAATCAACGTGAGATTTGAACAATGAAGCGCGAATCTCATAGCATGTCTACTTAATGTTCCTGTGCGCGGAGTTGGAAATTTAGGATTCTTGTTCCTGTTCGTACCTTGCTATGACCTTTCAATTTTGGCTTGGATCTCTTCCTGGAGTGTCTATCATTTAATGCTACGTTTTTTAATAAAAAAAATAGCGAACTACTTGTTTTTATCTTCAATTTTTGGCGTATGGATCTCTTAAAATTTAATGCTACGTCTGTTTGCTCGTGATTCATTAATATCCGCTAAACCATGCCACATTCCGCGATAATCGTGTGCGCCGAACAAAGTAGATAATGGATAAATTATAAATAAGTACATATGATGTGAATGACTACCAGCTATTGTCATTTTTTTCCTGAGAACTGAAATGAATAAATTTGCAATAAGAAACACAACTGCATGGAAAAGGCAATTTCAGGAGCGATCCTCTGATTTTTCCTAAGATGTCTACCTGCCAAATGCTTGCTTACTAATCGCTAATTCTCGGGATGCAGGATATGCTTTCCTGTTTCTTCACTATGATTGGGTAGGATTCCTGGTGTCATCTTCACAAAATGGATTCACTTTGTAGTTCCAAAACCTTTTACTGATTTGTTCTCAATTAAGGGATCCGGCGACAGGGTTTTACTGTTATGTTCAGGGCTATAGCACGCATTTCTTTTGTGTGGCATCATTCTTGTGGACCACAACAATTGCATTCACCCTTCACCGTGCTGTTGTTAGACACAAAACCGACGTTGAAGATTTTGAGGCCATGTTTCACTTGTATGTATGGGGTACGAATTCAGCTGTTATGTTTAAGGCATCTCATATAGCTTTAATTTCTCAAACTTGTACTATTGCCTCTAATATAGTTTCACATACGAGTTATTAAACTAATTTTATAATTTTCGATGCTAATTTAAATATTTATTTTGATCTAGGAACATCGTTAGTGTTGACTGTTATACGTTCAATTGGCAATAGACATGCGCATTTGGGAACCTGGTGTTGGGCACAGTCGGGGCGTACAGGAAAGGTGGGTAACTTTGATTCACCTCCTTCAAGCGGGACTCTGTTTTTAGTTATATCTGGTTAGTGAAATGCAAGTGTCCCTTTGGGATGACATTGCAAAAATGTGTATTGCACTGAAAACCAAGGATAATTGGGTAAAATTCAAATGGGAACTTGTGAGGTTTTCTTCCATTCTATTTACTGTTTACATTTAGAAATGCAGTATAAGCTAAATATGAAATTTACTTCTCTAAGGAATAAAATTTCCATCTTCATTCACAATTCATGCACTGTAGGTTCTTACCTGTAAGTAACTGTAGTTGTTAGAAAGGGTTAAAGAAAAGGATTTGTCTCTCAAACTAGAAAGGATAAAGACTATTTCTTTTTATAGATCTTCAACTTTAGTTGTGATTTCATTTTCATGCTAGTCTTACTTGAATATGTCCTTTCTTACAGGCTGTTCACTTTATAACATTTTACATGCCTCTCTGGGGTGCAATTCTCTACAATGGCTTTACTTACCTTCAAGTGATACGCATGCTTGATAATGCTACTCGTGTATGTACTCAAATAATTTCTGAAGAATAGTATGCTCTGATCATCATAGAAATTCAGTAAACCGTCTGTTGTGAAATTTCTAGATGGCAGTTGGCATCTCAGATAGGACTCACCAGTCAGATCCAAGAGCAGACGTGAAGGTTTTATTTTCAATACTTTCTTGAATAACGGTGACAGAGAGATAGAAAAGGACTGTCCTGCGAACTAGACTGAATGAAGACTGTTTCATTATTATTATTATTTTTATTTGGGGAAGATGATCATTTTGTTTTTGGTTTTATTCACACGAGCTTCAGTAACACTAGAATGAAGAAATTAAGGAAATGATCTAAAATCCTAAAATATCGGCATTTAATGTGTTATCTATAGTCCAGAATTATACTTTATTCTACAATCTGTTGTAACAAAATATGTGTACATATATTCTTCTTTTCTAAGGCAATCACATGATTGTGGACTCTGATTATTTGAATTAAATTTTTGGTGATTTTTTCCTTTTCCAACAACAGGCTTTAAACAGATGGGGATATTACCCGCTCATCCTCATAGGGTCGTGGGCTTTTGGTACAATCAACCGTATCCATGATTTTATTGAGCCAGATCATAAAATCTTCTGGCTGTCAGTTCTTGATGTTGGGATGGCATCTCTAATGGTAACCAATTTTTTTTTTTTTTTTTTTTTTTTTTTTTTTTTTTTTTTT